TTTTGAAATTTTCAAAAGTTTCGTCCTTAGTTTTTTGGATGAATACCCATAAATTTATGGAATAATCATCAACTATGAATATGAAATACTTTGCACCTGACTGTGAGGGATTTCTTGCAGGCCTCGAAAGACCAGCTTGAATATAATCAAAGGATCCATATGTTTTTTGTTTTACTTTGTTAAACTTCACCCTACAGGATTTACCAAATACACAAGGTTCACAAAACTCCAACTTTTTAACCTTGTCACCGCACAATAGATTTTGTTTCTACAATTCGAACAAGCCTCTTTCACTAAGATGGTCAAGTCTCTTGTGTCATAACTCAGTCTTTGACACAGGTTTTATGGACGCCACATCTATTAAAACACTTACAACCTCTTCCTCAAGGGTATACAAGTCTTGTTTATTCACGTCTCTCAAGACTTCCTTGACCCCTTTATTACCCTTAAGATACTCTGCTCTCCTTTAAAAACATATACTTTTTGTCGAATTCACCAAGAGAAATCAAATTCCTCTTAAGATCAGATACATATTTGACATCAGTCAATAACCTTATTGACTCATCGTGGAGCATGATTCAGACAAATTCAATTCCTGCAATCTTGCAAGCTTTATTTTTTTCCCGGTAGCATTGATCCACCATCTTGATCACATAATTCCTCAAACAATTCCTTGTTTCCCAACAACACTTATCCACCCTTTCTTTTTCATTATTTGCCTTGATGCCTCTTTCCTCCATTTTTGATTGAATTTTATTTTCATCCTTCTTTGTTTTTTTGAAATTCGTTTTCTTAATTAATATTTCATAGCGATGATACCGACATAGCAAGCTTCTCCTACATTCTCACGCCTGATTTTTTTCTTCATCTGAAACCTTTTTGTTGTTATGAGTTTTAAAATTGGGATCACTGTGGATATCTTTGGTTATCTCATTTGGCCTTCTTTTGGAGGGAAGAACCCAAAATTTTATTTTTTTTAAATGACATGCTTTTCAATTGCGAAATTTCTTACTTAATATAAAGCTTTGACTTTATCTATCTTTTGACCGTTTCTTTTTTCTGCCGCTCCCATCCTTGGCAATTGATTCAGTCACCTTTTTCAAGTTAGTGTCGTTTTTATATGTAACTTTTTTGACACATTTCCCTCGAGCCTCACACTGGGAAACTTCTTTTTCATCAACTCTATCACATGTGTCTAATATTGTTCTATAGGTGACTTTTCCCTTCTTTAATTAATTTTCAATAATTTTTTTCTATCCTCTTCCTTGCCACTTCATCTTCTATTGATGTCACTAAAAGTGGAATAAACGAATCCTCTGAATTAGATGAGTCGTAACCTTCTTCTGCTTTTGAGTTTCTAATCTCCATTTTCTATTTCAGAGTTACACATTTTTCTATAATTTTGATATTGAAGCATTCTTTGTTTATTAGAATTTTTTTGACTTGTTGATAAACTTCATTAACACTGTTCAGACGAGTACTCGTGCCGTGTATAATCTCAGCATATTTTCGATTACAACATCCATTTTTATGTATCTTCCGAATGATGTTGTCAAGATTGCAATACTCGCTTTTTCCACGCATGAACATGAATATTATAGATGTGACACCATATGTATATTGCTCCAACAACATCTCTAAGTTCTCATTCTTTCAAAATGTCAAACCGTTTATTGAAAAAGCCGTTTGATTCTTGTATTAATGATGAAAAATCTTCATTAAAAAGACCTCCCCCAATTTTCGTTGTACCACTGATATTATATGTTCCTGACGCAACCGGGGAATCATTTCTTTGCCGAAACCATTTATAGTTTAAAACAAGCTCAATTGTACATTAAATAGCATATAGGAGCCAGGCGTTTTTCCTTTTTAAATATAGAACTGTTTTTATAAACAGATTTTTGGTAGTCCTAACTAAAACTATGAAAATAGTAGTACCGGACACATGCTATGTAGCCGTTGATTCAAAACGGTAGTACAGTGTTATTATCATCAAGAAAACCAAGAGGCGCGTGCAATTATTATTACTATATTCGAGGCCACGTGTTGACGGGTGATGATGATGGGACTTCAGATGGTGAAGATCCAATGGTTGAGAGGTGTTTTCATTTTAACTTATTTTTTTGACAAGATTTTTATTTTAACTCTTGTAGACATAGAAATCCAATACCATTGCTGCATTGCGTTAACAACATAACGGAAAAAATGGCTTTTCTCTCTGCAACTGTTCAAGACTTACTTCAGAAACTTGCATCTCCAGACATGATCGATTACATCAAATGCAGCAAGTTGAATCTCCTTAAACTTACACTCTTCCAAACTTCGCTTCTCACCATTCACTCAGTTCTTCAAGATGCAGAGCACAAATACTTCTTCAACCCCAAACTCAAGCTATGGATGGATGAATTATCCGACGCTATCTCACTTGCAGAGGATTTGATTGATGAAATCGGCTACTATTCCCTCAAATGCAAGGTGGAGATTACTCAACCTGAATGTGATTTTGAGTTCAATTATAAATTGAATTTGATCTGTCCAAGACTGCAACATTTTGTTCAACAAATTGATATCTTTGGTCTGCAATCTGTAAGTACTACTTGTGTTTCTCGTACAATGCATTCAAATTCAAATTCAGTAGTAAACGCAACTGTTATAGTTGGTAGGAAGCATGATAAGGAGAAACTGATGAATATGTTGATGTTACACAATGGCATGGGCTATACTGTTAATAACAACATAGGTGTGGTTGCTGTTTTAGGAGTTGGAGGTGTGGGTAAATCCACACTTGCTCAACTTCTTTACGATGATAAACAAGTTAACGAGCATTTTGATTTGAAAACCTGGGTTCGTGTGTCGGAGGATTTTGATATTGGGAGAGTAATCAAGGCTCTCCTTGCATCGGTAGAGCCATTAACTTTCCAAGGTCAGGATGATCTTGATTCTCTTCGGCTTAGGTTAAAAGAAAAGCTGGTGCGTAGAAGATTTTTGTTTGTGTTGGATGACTTGTGGAACATCGGTTATGATGAGTGGCATGAGTTAGCAACAGTTTTATTTAATGGAAAATCTGGTAGCAGGGTGATCATCACAACACGCCAAGAAAGAGTTGCGGAGGTCGTTCATACATTTCCTATTCATAGCCTAGAACCTCTATCACACGAAGAATGCTGGTCCTTAATCTCTAAACATGCATTTGGAAGTGAAAGTTATGGCTGCAATGAATGCCCAGATCTAGAAGCAATTGGCAGGAAGATTGCGACAAAGTGTCAAGGATTGCCACTAGCTGCCAAAACACTCGGAGGACTTTTGTCTTCAAAGGTAGATGCAAAGGAGTGGGCTGCTGTTATGACCAACAACATATGGAACATTCCAAATCAAAATATTCTGCCATCTTTGCTTATGAGCTATCAATATCTTCCTTCTCATTTGAAAAGATGTTTTGTATACTGTTCAATTTTTCCAAAGGGTTATCCCTTTGACAGAAAACAATTGATTTTGTTGTGGATGGCTGAAGGTTTTCTTGAACATTCCCCGTGTGAAAAAGTGCTTGAAGAAGTAGGTGATGACTACTTTGATGAATTGTTATCGAGATCTTTTATTCAACAATTGAACGGTGACGATAAGAGAAAAAAGTTTGTCATGCACGACCTTGTCTATGATTTAGCTGTAGTTATTGGTGGGAAAATTTGTTGTAGGCTTGAATATGGTGCTAGCATCTCTAAAAATGTTCACCATTTTTCATATATTCAAGAAAGGTATGACACTTACAAGAAGTTAGAAATTTGTTACAAATTTGAATGCCTGCGAAGCTTCTTTCCTCTTCAAGTTCAGCGGGGATGGAGTTACTTAGCTAGAAAGGTGGTTGATGAGTTGCTACCGACATTCAGAAGTTTGCGTGTGCTATCTTTATCACATTATGATAACTTCACAATGTTGCCGGATTCAATTTCTTTCTTGTCACGTTTGCGATTTCTCGATCTCTCCAACACTAAAATAGAAAGATTGCCTAATTCAACATGTAAACTTTACTATTTGCAAACTTTAAACTTAGCATCGTGCCCAAGGCTCACTGAATTGCCGGAAGACATTGGAAAGTTAATTAATTTGCGCCACCTTAATATAAGTGAGACAAACATTACGAAGATGCCAATGGAAATTGTTGAACTGGAAAACCTTCAAACATTAACTGTTGCTTTTGTCGTGGGTCAGCAAGGAGATGGGTTAAGTGTGAGAGAGCTTGGGAAGTTTCCTAACCTACGGGGAAAACTTTCTATCCATAATCTGCATAATGTCATGGATGTCAAGGAGGCGTGTGATGCCAACTTGAGGAGGAAAGAACTCATTGAAGAGTTAGAGTTATATTGGGGAGAACATACAAATGATTCACCAAGAGAGAATGTCGTTCTTGATGTGTTGCTACCATCAATAAGTTTGAAGAAATTGAGCATTAGTTCTTATGGCGGGACAAGATTTCCAAGTTGGTTGGGAGATTCTTTGTTTTCTAACATGGTGTATTTGTGCATAAGTAACTGTAAGTACTGTGTGACACTTCCACCACTAGGGCAACTACCTTCTCTCAAAGATTTAATTATAGAAGGTATGTCAATATTGGAGACAATTGGCCCAGAGTTTTATGGCATGTCAGGAGGAGATTCTAATTCTCCATTTCAACCATTTCCATCCCTTGAGCATCTAAAATTATCCTCTATGTCTAATTGGAAGGAATGGCTTCCCTTTGGAGGCAGCAACTTTCCTTTTCCTCGGCTTAAAACTCTGAAGTTAGATAATTGTCCTAAACTAATGGGACATTTGCCTTGCCATCTTTCTTTCATTGAAGAGATTACAATAATTTGCTGTGACCATCTGCTGGCACACCATCTACTCTGCATTGGCTCTCCTCGGTAAAGTCTTTATATGTGCATTCTCGAGAGCCCACTGATTGTTCGTTGTTTGAAAGTGACTGTGCATGTCTTCTGCAGCGTGTAGTAATAGAACAATTTAAGATGATGTTGTCTCTGCCTAAAATGTTTACGAGCACCACTTGGCTTCAACACTTGGAACTTGATTTCATTCCATCTCTCTCTTCATTTCCGGATGATGGTCTACCCACTTCTTTGCAGTCACTAAGTATTACTAACTGTGAGAATTTGGCATTCCTGCCTCTTGAAACTTGGAGCAAATACACATCACTTGTGACTTTGAAGTTAGAGGGTTCCTGTAATGCACTGACCTCTTTCCCATTGAATGGTTTCCCAGTTCTTCAAAGGCTTTCGATTCGAGGCTGTCGGAATCTGCAATGCTTTTTTATTTCAGAAATGTATACCTGTTATCCATCAACCCTCCAATCATTTGAGGTTTGTAACTGTGACGCACTTAGATCACTTCCTCAACAGATGGAAACCTTCACTGCTCTTGAAAGCTTGAGGCTTAACTTACGATTATTGCCATGCTATGAAGGAGCTTGCCTCCCTCCCAACTTACGATTAGTTTCCATTGATTCCTTAAGAACAAAAACATTTGCGACCGGATGGGGTCTCCAAAACCTTAATGCTGTGTCTGATTTGTATATTGGAAGTGATGGTATTGTTAACACCTTGCTGAAGGAGCAGTTGCTGCCCATTTCTCTCCTGTCTCTGACAATAAATATCCTTAAAAGGAAATCCTTGCCAGAAAATGGACTTCAACACCTCTCCTCTTTGACAAATCTTACATTTCATAGTTGTTTGAGGCTTGAATCGTTGCCAGAAGACATGTTTCCTTCCTCTCTGAAATCACTTGTATTTGTATTTTGCCCAAAACTCAAGTCCTTGCCTGACCGGCTGCCTTCCTCTCTGGAAACACTGGAGCTTGATGTATGTCAAAGAATTGAGTCATTGCCAAAAGAACTCCCTACTTATCTTAAGCAACTGCGGATTAGCCAGTGCCGTCTATTAACAGCAAAATATGAGAATCAGAAAGGGGAGCACTGGTCCAACATTGCTCACATCCCTAACATAAAAATAAATGATGAATTGACAATATGAGCCATGGGAAGAGAAAGAAGAATTGCAATCCCATTTCAGGTATGTTGTTCTTATATGTCCCTGCCAGTTAGTTGCTGGCAAAGAAAATTTTGAATTTTTCAATAATTGTATGTTGCTCTATTTCATGTATATGACCATATATTTCTTGTCCAAAACAGTCTGAACTTGCCGTTGCTCATAACCACACCAGCTTCTCAACATGAGCTGAAAGTTTTGATTCATCAAACTTTGAAAGGTTGCTGGTGCACTGGTGAGTCTAAAGGGCATAACCAACCTCGGGAATCATAAATGAAGCCTTATGCCTATCCTCAGGTTTCACAAGTATTAGAAAATGCAGTTCTACTTTGGATGCATGGCCCTGCAGGACGTGATGCAGTAATTCTTAGGCAATCTCTAACCGTCAATAAAATTCTTGAAGCTACCACTGAAGTTATATGTTCGAGAACTCCAGCCCAGCTCCAATATTTAAGGCAGATATACCATAATAAATTTGGCACTTATCTTGATCATGATATTGAAAGAAATACCTCTGGGGATCATAAAAAGGTCAATCTTCTTTCTACCCTACCCACCAATGGATGATAATTCATTATGTTTTTACAAAGTAAATATGCCTCCTAAGGTTTCTATCTCATAATTAAATGTCTTATACTATTTTTGTATCCTAGTATTCCTACTAATGATAGAGCATGCCATTAGTTAGGGTCTATCTGTTTTATTCCAATGTGTAAGTTGTTTGTCATGGATTGCTACATAAGTAAGTCTTTTGAGGGAAACCTTGTCCAGACTTCCATTGTTTGTAAAACTCCTTCCCAATTTCACCATTTGATGTCGGTGATAACCACATCTATGAATTACTTTCAAATATTCAAACAATAAAGCTGTTGTTACTAATACATTTATTTAAAAACTTTATCCAGATTTTACTTGTATATCTAAACACACCACACCACGAAGGCCCTGAGACTAATAAAGAAATGGCTGAGAACGATGCGGTGGGTCTGTATAAAGCAGGTGAGAAGAAACTGGAACTGATGGAAAAACTTTTGTGCAAATATTGAGTGGAAACAGTGCGGTACAGTTGGCTGCCATAAATCAGTTTTACCATAGCAAGTATGGACATCCATTGAAAAAGGTATTCTAAACCCTTTTTTATAACGTTAAGCATAGTCTTTACTCTTTGTCCTTATCTAGGTATTTTTCCGGCACTTATCCAAGCTGAATTCATACCAGGCAATAAAGGAAACATCAGGGAAATTTGCTCATGCATGTTTGACAATAGTCCAATATGCCGAGAATCCTGCTAAGTATTTCACAAAGGTATTCCCCTTCGACATTAATTTTAAGTAATTTATTCGTGTAATTCCATTAACTTGAATGTAGACAAAAACAATTTGCATTCTCTTACAGTTTCTCATCTTGTAAGAATAAGGATATCTGGTGCTGAAACATAAGATGCTTATGTTAAACTAACTGTTAAAGTAATTTTGTGGGGAGTATTTATTTTCCCTCTGAAACAGCTGTATGCTTACTAGACAAGGAAAAACTAAGTTGCTGTGTGTTTTGCTATGAGTTACTAGGGAAAAAAAACTTTTATTTTCAAAGTATGCTTTAAACTCCATATAGTTCATCCAATTAGGAGAGCATTGAGGGCTCTATAATCTGTGCAACTTGGGGTTTCATCTTTTGGAGTGCATATAACTCAGCAATAGAGTCAGTTTGCTGAAACCTTAGAAATGCGACATCTCCAGTTTCTGTTTCTTTTCATCCAAGTAAAATATCAGTCTAGAAGCTGCATAGTCAGCCACGTGAGGTTCCAAAGAATCAAGACAGGGTGATCCTAAAATAAGAAAGCAGGGACAGAGATGTCATGTCCATTAATTTTACCACCAGATTTTAGACCATGCCATTTGCAGACATGTCCTGACCATTTCCAACCAGTAACTTCAAATTAGGTGATGGTTCAATGTAATTTCAAGAAATTTCACATATTTCCAACCAGTAATTTAAACATATGTTTTAAGGTATTGAAATATGTGTTTGGATGATTCATATTTATGCATGGTATTTCAAAGGTTTCCAATACTTTGACCACCATACAGTGTGCTACTGCCCACTGTTATTAAACTAAATGATTAATAAGCACTTAGAGACCAAAAAAAAAGCACTTAGAAGGTTATTAAATTACAGAATAAAACTCAACAGATTTTTTGGTATAATTACAAAGACATATTATTAACATTCCTGTGTTATTGTAGCCTTGTAGGCCTCCATGTTTTATGATTTTGTTAGTAAAATCACAATATGTCAAAATGTTGAAAACTTGTAATGAGGGAAATATTTATTATGGGATTTGTTATAATGAAGTTTATTAAACTGTCTTGTGAATTAAGAACTCCAATTATTTTGTTGTCTTAGTTGCATACTTTTTAGTTCTCAATGACACTAATAATTACTTATGCTTCAAAACAATGCTCTCATAATTTTCATCGCCTGTTATTACTGTCTAATTCTAAAAGAATGATGACATTATTCTACTTTTCTCTCAAAATTGTAAGACTACGGTAAGAAAGTGACCTTACTTTGTTTCTCAGCATAATGTTTTTAATAAAATTCAAGTATTCAGATATATACACATCAATATTTCTTGTAGAGTAAGGCAAATAGATTCATTTTCATTAAAGTCAACCAGAAATAATATATTCTGTATAATTGCTTAAAATCAACATCTCCTATGGATTATGCAGCCACCGACATGGAGCATGTTAGAATCCCAACGGTTGGCAGATGCTTTGGGACTTTACAGGCCCTCCACTGGACAATTGATCAAAGGTACTTCAAGTTTGTTGTAGAAACAGTTGCTGAAATCATTGTGGAATGTATCCATAGCAATTATACATTCCACAGCAAGAAGAAAGCAAGTATGGGTTTTGGCATGGTTAGGTGTTTTTTGTTGCCACAATCATCACTCCTATATCTACTTGTTGGTCATGCTTTCATGGAAGTCGGTTAGACGGATGCTTTTAGTATATTTCTTTTCTAATTTCTTTGTTGTTTTGTTTGAAGTAGCTGTTAAAGGGATTTTGTATAAGGTAGGGCTAAGAAGAATAGCACTTGTATTGCCTTTTAGAGTTCTAATGTATGATATAGGAGTTTAATTTGAATACTTTTCCTCCCTCAAATTTCTTCTTCCTCTCTCTCTCTCATAATAGCAAGCAAGTGTCGAAGATGTTTTTCAAGCCAAAAGTCGATGATGGTTCACCGTAATCATTAAGCCAGACAGTCATTTTCTTTCCAAAAGAAATTAAAAAAAAAACACGCTAAGTCAAAACCTATGAAGGAGATTTAGGCAAAACTGGGGCATTCCGCTGACTGTAAGCTTTAAAAGAAACAGTTCAGGCAAAAGTTAGGGACAATAAAAGAGGAGATCTTTAAATCCTTTACCCTGAAAATCCTCAATGTCAGAACAACCAAATGTTGTAAAGAAGCAGTGACTGCCGTCTCAAGAGTCCTTGGACTGTTGAACCATCATCATGGCTATAATCAGTGCAATTCCTATAGGAACCTGAGTGTATATTCTGAGTTAGCTGAGCATAGGACTGAAGATCATCACGTAGATTGGGTGGGCACAAATAAACTTTGAGCTTTTATCCTTTGTTTTTTAAACCGTGAACCAGACCACGCTACAACCCTCAAAAGACCTAACTGAAGCAAGGTTATTTCGAAAGCATACTACAGCAAGGTTGCGTAAACTGACTCCAAAAGATCTTTGCAGATCATTTGTTTTGGCATCATACCTTTTGCTTTACCTTCACTTTTGAGTGTCTCGAACCACTGTGTTCTGACCAATGACTCATTTATTTTGTATCTTTCAAGAATGATTTTGATTTCAAAAGTTGCATGAACTTTGCATTATCATGTTTGTATGAATACTTTTGTTTGCAAACTGGCTTTCCTCTCAAGGAATTTTCAAACATTGAGAAACTTGGTCGGTGATCCTATCAGGGGCAAGTTCTTTTCACATCCGGTCGAAGAATCAGTTCAATATTTGTTCAAGGCAAGGTCTTCTCAAATGTGATTTATCCAGAAGATATTTCAAGACTTAGACCGGGGCAAGCTTTTCAAGCACGCAGTGGATCAGTCATCTTCAACAAGCTGAAGCGATTATCAGTTTACCTACAACAAACAGCTAAACTGGGGCAGTTTACTTGAAGAATCCCCAATCAATTATTCATCCTTCCTGCAATGATCATCAATTTGACACAGTTTACCAGTGTGGCAGAGATATGTTCAGCGGTAGCATCTTTAGTCCCCAAGAAGAATGGCAGTGATCTCCGTGTTGAGGAATCAATCTTCCAGTATTGTCTTCTCACCAAAAGAGTCGAGCCTTGTCGTCGGTGTTTGCATTTGCATTTTGATCATATACCATCTGCATAATTCATATTCATATGCATAACATGGGTGTTTCATCCTCATTTGCATTTTTCCCGATGTAGTGTTTTATCCACGTCTTACCTTGTGGTCAAAGTTCAACTCACTTGGCACCTACCAAACATATTTTTGTGTCGTGTCTATCTGATGTTCTTCCAGATATGACATTTCTTATCCGATTGTTCTTCTGGATATGTTTGTTCATGTATACATTCAATACTATTCTCAGATACTATGTTTATATCTTTCATTCAAAGCCATTATTGGGTATCTGGTTTCCTTTATTCCAACACTATTCTTGAATGTCACCTTTGTTTGTCTCTCTCTGATGTTTTTCCAGATTGAGTCTTTGTTCTGATGTTTTTCCAGAACTTATCTGATGGTTTTCCAGATTTTTACCTTGATTCTGATGTCTTTCCAGAATCTATCCGATGTTTTTCCGGATATATTTCTCTCTCTGATGTTTTTCCAGATTGAGTCTTTGTTCTGATGTTTTTCCAGAACTTATCTGATGGTTTTCCAGATATTTACCTTGATTCTGATATTTTTCCAAAATCTGTCCGATGTTT